AATACCCACATAATTTATCAATAAATAATCCTCTTTTCCACTATTTCGGGTTGCTTTCTTTATATTTTAGGTATAGATTGAGCTTTGCTAACAAGTTATTATCTTTATGATGTTTAATTAATTGCTTAATTAATTAAATAATAATATCAATTATCTTCAATTCATTTCTGCTTTTGTATTTATACCAGTCCTACAATATCTTTATCATTTAGCTTTATACTGACGTATTATCTGTTAGATGATCCTCCCCCGACGTCCCCCTGCCCTCCTGTGATTCTTCAAAACGTTTATATGTGTTCTCATCTGCTTTTTATTCCTGGTGAATTTAGATTAGATAAACAAGTCTCCACCAAACTAAATAAGGGAAAAGAAATTGGTTCATTAACTGAAAATTGTTTAAACCTGTATTTTTTCCCTAATATATTGCCATCTTTACAACTCCAGCTAAACTTTGAGGAAAATGGTTTGCTTATCTATTTATTCAGATCTTTTCTGACATTTTTTCCATGTAAATTCACTTATTTCCAGATGAAGTTATATCTAACATTTCATTTCCTTGTTCAAGGTTTCTAGGAAATATAAAATTAGGTAATAATGGTGCTAACACTCTTGTTATCTTCTTTATTCTATACAAATGCCCCCAGTGTTTTACATTAGTGAAAAATGCTGGTTAATTGTTTGAAAAAGTATATCATGTATCCATTGTCAATTTTAACTTACTGTTTACCAAATTTTCAAGTATCTTTAAATTTTTAAACTTGACAAAATAAAGGCTTCTTAAAATCTTTTCATCGTGAAATGAAATACACAATGAATTTCTTGAATACATAAATTCATTCTTAGTATTTAGAGGTACATATCACAGACTTTTAAGTTGCACACAAAATAAGGAGTGATAATTGAATTAATCAAATACATTTTCAGCATCCACTGAAATGAATACACTTTTTTGTTTAACTTAATGATGTGATATACTAATATATTTTCTAATATAGTATGTCTATATTTAAGGGAATAAGTCTTATTTCATTTGGGTAATTTTTTACATTAACATACTATTAATTTGAAGTCACTTGGATTTTATACAGACAGTTTGGGTCGTTATTTTATTCAAAGTTTGGCCCACTCTTTTATTTTTGGTTTGATCTTTTTCGGTTTTTAGTTTTTTAACTAAGCCGATGATAGAAGTTGTGAAGCAGACAGTTATGCACTGCGGTCTCTTTGCAAGGACCTGGATTCTTAGTATTCAGTGTTATTGACAAAGGCTTATCCATATACTAGAGACATGAAATGAATAGATGGTGGTTATTGTTTGGTTAAAATTGAGGTCTGCAACCAACATAATAAATAATAAACCTGTCTCTGCTTGGCAGTGAACCAGGGCAAACCACTGTCAAGACCAGGAATAATATCTAAAGAAAATTCCTAACCATTCCATCAAAGAGCCAAATATAATTGATCAAACTGTCCTGTACATAAGGTATGATTCAACATACAACAACAAAATACTTTTAAGTAACACAGGCATTGATTTCAGGGGCTGCTAGACTCACAGATATGACCAAACTAATAGTAACAACTATTCTTTATTGGGTAATTACTATATTGCAGGGGAACTACTTAGCCATTATACATTATCATAAACATTTATTAGGTGTTATTTTAACTTTGTGAATGAGAGACCCATATCTCAGAAACATGAAGAATGTCTTCAGGTAGCCTACTGTGTAACTGAATCCTCCAAAATTCAACCCTAGTCTGATTCACCAGCACCTGTCTTATCACCAAACGTCACCTGAGAGAGTTCAGGGCACACCAACGACCTGGGAAGCTCAGACGCACAGAAACACACACGGAGCCAAAAACATGCTGATGCAGCCATGAGCCAGGGTGATACACAAACTGTTTAACAGCATCACAAAGGTCAGTTTACCAATCCAAGCTTGTGGAAACCCCAAGGTGAACAGCAACATATACTCCCAAGTGGAGTAGTGTTTTATTCATATCAAACATTTTTGTCCACTGGACTTGTAATCAAATGACCTGGGTGTAGCTTGGACCTCCTTGGGTCTAATTCATCAACTTTGTGTTAGTGCACATCTTAGTTATTTTCTTTAGTTCCTAAAGCTAGTGAGCAAGGGCAGATTACAAATAAAATGCATTGTGCACACACACATATAAGTTTATACATCCCTCAAACATACTTGATGCTGAATAAATATTTGATAAACAAATTCACTTTAATTAATTCAAAATATTATAGCTGGTTATTCTAAGTAATATATAAATCATATAAATCATATTTGCACTTGAATATATTTAAATCTCACTCCATAATACATCTCTACTTGGGATATCACAGCATTTAGGGTACTTTAACTACCAATGTTTGGTGTTAGTGATCCCTTATTTTCTCCATCATTAAACTGGACATGCACATAGTACAGCAGCTGAACCCTTAGACCCTCTGAAACCCATCATTTACTGCAAAGCAAAATGTAATACCACATAATCAATCTATTTCCTGTTTTACTAATGCTGAATAATTGCATATATTAAAGTACTATAAATGAAGGTGTTAGAATATAGTCTCAGTTCATGGGTCAGAATTCCTTGACACATGAAAAGTGGGAACCAGATCCTAATTAGGACCAGATCCCCTAAGAAGTGAGGCTGGGATGGTTATGCTGGCTTTGTTCTTGGTGTCCCCGTCCCATACCTTGAAAATAGTATTCCAAGGGATTAACAATTTTCCCAATATATTCAAACTTCTGACATCCTGTAGCTTAGGACTGTTGACCAGTTGCACAATTTCTGTCACAACGTATAGGTTCTCTGCTGCTGTCTGGCTCTTCAGAGCTGACAGCATTGACTCCAACACTTTCCTGGGGATATAAGGGAGGAGAAGGGTCACGGTGAGCAAGAGATGCCTTCTTAGGTTATTCTGGGTTATGCTTCTCTTCAAGACCTGGAAGAGGTGCAAGGTTTTGGACTTTATCAGGTGAGCTGTCAGAGGGTAGGAAGATACTGGCTTATGAGGTCAAGTTACAGAGGGTAGCAGAACACCTTCTCTAGTGTGCACAGTGCAGGGACCCCTATTTACTATGGGCGTGTGGACATGAGAGTGCGCATACCAGAGTGTTAAGGGCATCCGTACTTTTCAAAATTATGTTGGGCTTGTTATAGGCTAGTTTGTACATTTCCAGTACCAGGGCTTCTCACCAGAAGGGGATAGAAGTGAACACATGCAGACGTTCGAGAACAGTGCTTAGGAAGCCCTGTTGTCAAAGCTAGATATCCACACTGAACATGTAGGGTGGGTTGTGGTGCAATAAGGTGTGATGAAGCAGGGGGGATTCTGGATGCTTCTAGCACAGATGGGTCTTTATGGACCAACTGTCCTTAGTAGATAGGCCAGTAGGTATGACTTAAAGATACAGATTTAGGGGAGATGTGAGAGGTTCAAAGTACTAAAGACAGATTTCATCTCCATTTCAGTTCTGAGGCTCAACCCTGATTCTGCTCAAGGGGCCCTGGATAACAGCCACATGGAATGCTGAGATCCTTACTTGGCTTTTTGGTGGAGATCACTGAACAGCCAGCGCTGGGATTCCCCACTGCCCTTGGAGAAAAACTCAAGCCCCTTCCTGTGTCTCTAAGATGTAATGTCATCTGACATTTACTTACCTCCAAGCCTCATTTTATATCACCTTCCTCAAGACAGTCTAAGCTTCCACCTCACTGACTCCCTACTGATCCTGAAAACACCAAGTTCTCTCCTGCCCCAGGGCCTTTAAACCCCTCATGTTAGTTTTATTTTAATGAATATTACAAGACACCAAGAATACAAAAGTTGTGCAATGCCCTGAAAGTAACTTTTAGTCTCTAAGCAGTCTCTGATTTTAAACAGTTGCTTTCTTTAATAAGCCTTTGAATGGATAGAAATGCTATTGAAATTGACATCTATTTCTAAAGGTATAGTTATGAGGTATTTTGTTAAGCTCTTAGTGGATCACTGGACATTGTCTTTTCCCACATTCACAGAGTTCAATTAAATCCCAAGACACTGTCACATATACTTTAAATGGTTTCAGAGCCTTTGTCTCACCGAAATTAATACTTTGTTTATTTTTTTGTTGTTTATTTCCACTGCACTCACTGCATTTCCACTGTCCCCATTACATATAAACTACTTCAGAACAGGGATTTTTTTGTCTTGGGCATTAGTATATCTTCAGCACAAAAAATGAGTAAATTACTGGTTAAATAAATATTTATTAGAAAACTAATATCTACTAGTTGAATGAATGAATGAATGAGTGAATGAATGACTTGACCAGAAGAGCAGCATAATCTGGGATGTCATTCTAAGCCTCAGCAACAAAGCCGGCTAGATGCCTCTTTGCCCATGAAGAAAGTCCCCACGGCTGTTGACCTGTTTCTTCCTCTCACAGGGCCTTACCTCTTTTTAAGTTCTATCCAGGATAGAAATGGGGTGGTAACAATCTGATACTCGAGGTCGAACTCTTGGAACTCCGTAGCCTCCCCCGACAAACTCGCATCCACGCCGGCACTCACACTGACGCCAGCCTTCTGCTTTTGCACCATAATATTTCTGAAGAAGTATGGTCCTTTCACTTCATGGTAGTCTTTGGGGAGAGAAAAGATAATCTTAGGTTTATCCAAGAATTCACTCTGGAACAACTGGTGTGGAAACAGTATAACTGAGTCCTATTTTTGCCCCAACCCTCCCACTCATTTTAAACTCTCAGCCAAGAAGCCAACTAATCAATTAATGTAAGTATAAATTATTTCTAAGGCCAGATGTTCGGATCATCCCAGAGGTTGGATAACAGGTATAATGTTCTGAATTCTGAGAAATGGTGATGTCCCTTGTGGACTGGTCCAGAGGACCTACAACATCATCTTTCCACGTACAGCACCTCCTCTGCGGCAGACACAGCATTCATGTCAGGAGGCAGTACACTGAACAGAAAATGTAGGGATTTGGAGCCCGACAGACCTGGGTTTGGATTCTAGTTCTCCCAGTTCCCAGGGATGTAATCTGGGACAAATTATTTTATAAGGCTCAATTTATTCTTATGTAAGTAGAGATAAAATTCCCAACTTAAGAGACTTCTGTATTACATGAACTAATGCATATTCATTAGTTTCAAATATTTAGATTAGATCCGGATAATTTTTAAGTTCTCAAATAGTCTTGTCCCTTGCCCCTTGCCTTTAGGTAAGGCGAGCCTGAGATCTACCCATGTGGGTGTGCATTGAAGGGATTCCTGAATGCAGCACCACCTCTACTTGAGCACCTTTGTTTTTCTGTCCTTCCCTCTCTTGGTCCTGGCTGACAATACTGGAGACTGAAGAATTTGGTTCCAGGATGTCTATGAGGGAGACTTGAACTGGTTCATCAGGTTTTTCCCGAAACAGTGAAGTACTCTTCTTCTTCTGTAATATAGCAAACTGAGAGATTTTTGTGGCATCTGAGAAGTTGACAATCTTCAGGTCTCTGTCAATCTCCTTGGCCAATTTCTTGCTAACTTTTTCAAATAAGGTGGACATGTTTCTAAGAGCAGATAGAAAATGAGTAGAAAGTTCAGTTAGGAGGGGGAAAAAAAGTGGGTAACTTCTCACCTACCCTGGACATTTGTCCTAAAGGAAAGGACATACACATGAGATTATCAAGTTTTAACTTAGAATTGTGACTATATTACAACATTCAGCTCTGGTATTCTAAACTCAGACTGGGCTTTGAGAAAGCTCTGTTTTGAAATTCATTGTTCCTTATGGCTGGAATAGGAAAGCTTGGTATCTTCCCACTCCAACCTAGAGATGCTCTAAAGAGCCAAGAAGAACTCAAGCCCATCATCAATGAAGGGCCAGAAGGAAGGTTGGGTTTATGTTAAGTGGACATGGATAGTAGTAGAGAGGATGGCAATGTTTGAAATTTTACAGGAAAGGCCACACTGAGCAGTGATACTTGAACAGTACATACATTAAAAGAAGGTAGGGAGATAATCAAAAAATTTTTAATAAAACAATCTAATTTAAAATAGCATTAAAAAATGACATGATATTGTACATAAAAAACCCTAAAGAATTCACTCCAAAAACTAGATCTAATATCTAAATTCAGCAAAGATGCAGGATACAAAATTAATACGCAGAAATCTGTTGCATTCCTATACACTAACAATGAACTAGCAGAAAGAGGAATCAGGGAAACAATTCCATTCACAATTGCATCAAAAAGAATAAAATACCTAGGAATAAACCTAACCAAGGAAGTGAAATACCTATACTCTGAAAACTACAAGACACTCATGAGAGAAAGTAAAGATGATACCAATAAATGGAAACACATCACATGTTCATGGATAGAATTAATATTCTCAAAATGGCCATCCTGCCTAAAGCAATCTACAGATTCAGTGCAATCCCTATCAAAATACCAACAGCATTCTTCAGTGAACGAGAGCAAATAGCTCTAAAATTCATATGGAACCACAAAAGACCCTGAATAGCCAAGTAATTCTGAGAAGGAAGAATAAAGCTGGGGGATTATGCTCCCTAAATTCAAGCTCTACAACAAAGCCACAGTAATCAAGATAATTTGGTACTGGCACAAGAACAGACCCATTGACCAATGGAACAGAACAGAGAACCCAGATATAAACCCAGCATATATGGTCAATTAATATACGATAAAGGAGCTATGGTTATACAATGGGGAAGTGACAGCCTCTTCAACAACTGGTGTTGGCAAAACTGGACAACTACATGCAAGAGAATGAAACTGGTTTATTGTCTATCCCCATACACAAAAGTAAACTCAAAATGGATCAAAGACCTGAATGTAAGTCATGAAACCATTAAACTCTTAGAAGAAAACATAGGCAAAAATCTGTTGAACATAAACATGAGCAACTTTTTCCTGAACACATCTCTTCAGGCAAGGGAAACAAAATAAAAAATGAACAAATGGGACTACATGATAAAGAGCTTCTGTACAGCAAAGGATACCATCATCAGAACAAAAAGGCATCCTAGAGTATGGGAGAATGTATTTGTAAATGACATAAACAACAAGGGGCTAACATCCAAAATATATAAAGAACTCACATGCCTCAACACCCAAAAAAACAAATAACCTATTAAAAAATTGGCAGAGGATCTGAACAGACACTTCTCCAAAGAAGAAATTCAGATGGCCAGTAGGCATATGAAAAGATGCTCCACATCACTAGTTATCAGGGAAATACAAATTAAAACCACAATGAGATATCACCTCACACTAGTTAGGATGGCCAGCATCCAAAAGACTGGGAACAACAAGTGCTGGTGAGGATGCAGAGAAAGGAAAACCCTCCTACACTGCTGGTGGGAATGTAAACTACTTCAACCATTGTGGAAAGCAGTATGTAGGTCCCTCAAAAAACTCAAAATAGAAATACCATTTGACCCAGGAATTCCACTCCTAAGAATTTACCCTAAGAATGCAGCAGCCCAGTTTCAGAAAGTCATATGCACCCCTATGTTTTTTGCAGCATTATTTACAACAGCCAAGAAATGGGAGCAACTTAAGTGTCTATCATTAGATGAATGGATAAAGAAGAGGTGGTACATACACACAATGGAATACTATTCAGCCATAAGAAGAAATCAAATCCTACCATTTGCAACAATATGGATGGAGCTAGAGGGTATTATGTAAAATATAATTTCATGTCCTTACACCATTTTAAAATAAGGTATTGACTGATTGGCTCAGTGAAATAAGCCAGGCAGAGAAAGACAAGTACCAGATTATTTCACTCATCTGTAGAGCATAAAAACAAAGCAAAAACTGAAGAAACAAAACAGCAGCAGACTCACAGAACCCAAGAATGGACCAACAGTTACCAAAGAGAAAGGGACTGGGGAAAGTGGGTTGGAAGGGAGGGAGAAGGGGAATAAGGGGCATTACGATTAGCACACATAACTTGGGGGAGGCACAGGGAAGGCAGTATAGCACAGAGAAAACAAGTAGTGACTGTATAGCATCTTACTATGCTGATGGACAGTGACTATAATGGGGTATGTGGTGGGGACTTGATAATGGAGGGAATCTAGTAACTACAATGTTGCCCATGTGATTTTATATTAATGATACCAAAATAAATAAATAAATAGCATTAAAAATTTTTATTTAGGATTAAATTTAACCGAGGCAAAAGACCTATACACTGAAAACTGCAAAACATTGATGAAAATAAATGGAAAGATATCTCTTGTTCATGGTTTGGAAAGAATATTATCAAAATGCCTATACTATCCAAAGCAACCTATAGATTCAGTGTAATTTCTATCAACATTCCATAACATTTTTCACAGAATTAAAAATAATAATCTTAAAATTCATATGGAACCCAAAATATTTGAGCAAGAACAAAGTTGGAGGCATTACACTTTCTGATTTCAAAATATATTACAAAGCTACAGTAATCAAAATACTATGGCACTGATATAAGAATGGTCATAGAGACTTATAAAACAGAATAGAGAGCCCAGAAATAAATCCACACATTTATAACCAACTTATCTCCTGCAAGAGTACCAAGAACACAAAATGGGGAAAGGAGAGTCTCCATTAAATGGTGTTGGGAAAACTGTATCTCTACATGCAAAAAAATAAAATTGGATACTTATCTCACACCACATACAAAAATGAACTCACAATGGATTAAACATAAGACTTGAAACTATGAAACTACTAGAAGAAAACATAAGAGAAAAGCTTCTGGGCATTAATCTAGGCAATGATTTTTTTGGATATAACACCAAAAGTACAGGCAAATAAGCAAAAATAGTTGAACTGTTTTGCATCAAACTAAAATGCTTCTGCACAGCAAAGGAAACAATCAACAGAGTAAAAAAATAACAGATGAATGGGAGGAATTATTTGCAAACCAGCTATCTGATAAAAGGTTAACATCCAAAATACATAAGGAGTTCAACTCAGTGGCAATCAATCAATACCTTATTTTAAGATGGGGTAAGGACATAAAGAGACGATTTCCTGAGGAAGAGATACAAATGGTCAACAGGTATATGAAAATATATTCAACATCTCTAATCATCAAGAAAATGTAAATCAAAACCAGGAGATACCACTTCACAACTATTAGGATGGCTATTCTCATAAAACAAAAATTAACAAGTGTTGGCAAGGATGTGGAAAAACAGGACTTTGTATACTGTTGGTGTGTATATAAATAGGTACAGTTACTATGGAAAACAGTATGAAATTTCCTCAAATAGGATCCAGCAATTCCAATCTGGGTATATTTCCAAAGGAAATGAAGCAAGTATCTTGTAGAGATATCTGCATCAAAAAGATATATGCAGTCCTATATTTATTGCTGCACTATTTGCAATAGCCAAGATATGAAGCAACCTAAGGGTCCATCAATAGATGAATACATAAAGAAGACGTGGCACATATACACAATAGAATGTTATTTAGCCATAAAAAGAAAAGAAATCCTCTCATTTGCAACAACATGGGTGGATCTAGAGGTTATTATGCTCAGTGAAATAAGCCAGGCAAAGACAAATGCCATATGATTTTACTAATTTGTGGAATATAAATACAAAGCAAAACAGAAGGAATAAAATAGCAGTAGACTCACAGACACTGAGAAAGGACTAATGGTTACCAAGGGGGAGGGGCTGAGGCAGGCTGGAGGAGAAGGGGAATAAAGGGGCACAATAATTCACAATCATAATACAAGCTGGTCGCGGAAACATTAGCACAGCATGGAGAATATAGTCAATGATTCTGTAAGATCTTTCTACATTGATAAATAGTAGCCACACTAAAGCGGGGGTGAAGATTTAATAATATGAGTAACTGTTGAACTGCTGTGCCATATATTTGAAACTGACGTAAGATTGTATATCAATGATACTTCAATAACAAAGAAAAAAACAGAGATATCTGCACTCCCATGTTCATGTGGCATTGAAATAGCCAATATGTGGAAAGAACCTAAGTGTCTTCAGACAGATAAATGAATAAAGAAAATGTGTATGTAGGGTATACACATATATGCATATACACACACACACATATATAGTTAATAATACCGTATTGTATACTTGAAATTTGCTAATAGAGTGGATCTGGAGTATTCTCAACACACACAAAAAAGGTAACTATGTACAGTGATGGATATATTAATTAGCTTGATTGTAGCAATCTTTTCACAATGTATGCATATATCAAAACGTCACACTGTAAAGCTTGAGTATATACAATTTTTATTTCTCAATTATAGCTCAATAAAGCTTGGAACAAATTTAATTTGAACATATTTTTTAGAAAAACCTATTTCAGTAAACCCAGGCTTTACAGCAGTCTCAGCAAAAGAGACAAAGAGTACTTAACAGGACAGGTAAGATTTCTGGAAAAATGTATTTACGGTAACTCATTCATTCATTCATTCATTAAGTCATTCATTCAGCACCATTTAATGAGTACCTATTAGGTGTTAGGCCTTATGCTAAGAATTGACAATATCATGT